GTACCAAAGTACTCAAATACAGGAAAATTCCTTACTATTAAGTCATTTTCCTGAACTTGAAGGTTCACACAAGTTATTTATAATCAAGTAAGGCACGCAGCAGCAGATTTGCAGGCCGTGATTCCTGCACACTGAACAAAACGCATTCTATGAGGACTGATTCAAACTGCCCAAAGGGACGGTCTTCAGAGACTCACAGTTGGGGAAAAAATCAATTAATCCATGTTGTGTTTGCTGGCAGTTGCTAGTCTGCTTCAACAGAAGCAGGCAGGAGTAGTAGAGCAATTACTCACAGTGCCTCTTCTGAGAGCAAATTGGATAGAATCAAGGTCAGCAACAGGACACCAGACTTCAGCAATCAAGCACTTCTGTGTCACATCAATATTGCACAGATTCAGGGTATGGTAGATGGCCTTCATCTTGCGCACTTTGATGAACCAGACACGGATATTTTTAGCAGCTGCCTGCAGAACCCTTTGGCGATGATCTTCTGTTTGGTTCAGCACCTTTCATAGAGAGGTGGGACAAAGATCAAGCAAGGTTATTGGCCAAAACTTGCAGCATAAACAGCGCACAATGAAGCAGTATTGACCAACAAGACAAGCCTTTCCCAGAGGATGGATGAAAGAACCCTCTTCCCTCATCCCATGCACAATACTGCCACATGTTTGCAATATATACTTTAGTCTCCATATTAATTATTCTGCTAGAACAATTTAAGGCTTCTCTCCAGGTATACTTTTTGACTACTTTCCTCCAACTCCAAGGTCAGTGGATATTTCAAACAATATCCACTGCATTCAGAGCTCAGAGAACACTTTTTTCATCCACCCAGGTTAAAAGGACAGAGAAGAATTCTACAAGTGAATTCTACAAGTACATTGTCTTAAGTGAACACAGAACGGTTACATTAAAAAATACTTTACTAAAGAGAAAAGGAGAAAGCGTTTTTTGTTGAGGGTGATTTCCAACTGGAATGTGTCTAACTGAGGCCAAGTCAGGTCCCTAGACTGGAAAGACTGAGACTCAAGTGGAAGTTAGAACACAGGGTAGAGCTATCACATGCAGCTCTGAGTTCTACTAGTCCAATTGCTTCTGCATTCTTGCCTACTTTGTAATTACTAAACAACTACACTACACAACTTCCAGCTTGAGACAGGATCTGTAACAATTAAACAGTTCAGATTGAACCTTTTGTCCTTTTGGCTTCTGAACCTTTTTCTGACTTGTAGCTCAATTCCCTTCGGTCAATTTTTCTGCATTATGACTTACTGCCTTTCCTCGAAGCAAATATCAAACGTAGCAGAGCTGGTACCCAGTAGTTTTGTGTGCTAATTACATTTTTACCAACACTCAGGATGCTGCACAAGAGATTAGTTGTAAAGCAGAAACTCTTCAGGACAGCACAACGTGAAAATACAGAGACGGGCAGGAGAAAAAAACACTACGTTAATTAGTACTGTTATCTCAATTTGGAAATAATATCAAATGTTTTTGAAGCTCTGGTAGAGGAAACAAGCACTTATAGAAGAAAACTTTCACACGTGGAAACTTGGTATCTTCTTACACATGCATACCACCTCTCTGCTCCCTGGTATGCAATTCTGTATCAACTCTGTATTTATGTGTATATAATTAACTGCTCATCCCTCTGGAAAGTATCAAACCATTCCATGACCCCCTAAACCCTGCAAAGAAACTTAAGACACAGATAGTCTCCAAACATCTTTCTTGCACTATTGAGCTGTTGGTCTCAAGACACTTTGCTTGGCTGAAAATACTATCACCTAATAGAGCCAAAAATTCTCCTTTTTTAATATGGGCCAAAGATGAATTCAAGCGTGCAAGTGTGTGCATGGAAAAAGACATCGAACCCATCTATTTTACCATCTGCAGATCATCAATCCTGGTATTGACGCCAGAAGCCATTTCCTTCCGCTCCTGTGGTGTTTCTGGGCAGGGGTAGAGGGAGGCACGGAATCTGAAAGACATGCAAGCCACCTTAGCAACAAAGATGGAAAGAAGATAAATCAGTCGGGGAAATAGATGGCTGAGAGCAATCATAGAAATAAAGCAAGGAGTGCCTTAAGAAAAGCTCCTCATCAGTAAAGACCGTCAAGCAGTCAAGTTTCTGTCTTTAAATCAAATGGGTACAGAAAAATTTGCTTAAGGCCAAAATAGTAGCCGAATGTTTCTTAAAAAACAGTCGAACCCTTGATGTTAAACCATCCAACTCTTAAGAAAATGGAAGTGGATGAAAATCCTCTCTCCCCTGCACTGTCAGACTCTCAGTGGCACTGTTACGAAGTTGATTAGCTATCACAGTTCAGGGTGCTGCTATCATGCCAATGCAGCTGCTGTCTGAAGTAATCAGCTGTTAATCTGTCCTGTGAGAATAATGTTGACATTTCTGATAAAAAGTTTGTCTAAGAGTCAGTTTCAACACTTGAACTCAGTTGCTATTAGGCATTCTATAACAAAACAGTCATCTACTTCGAGCGCTACAGAGTTGGGGAGCAGCTAATTTGGCTGCAAAACATGTTTCGGTTATTTATGGTGTGCTTTATTTGCCATCAAAATATCTACTCCTAATGTCATTGTGAAATAAGGAGGTTAAGTCATTGAAGTATGCATTTCAAATATTTGAGAGTGCTCTTTCATGGTTACTGTGCATAGCAAGATATCCAGCTGTAAGACATTTAACTTTCATACCCTTCACAAATCTTCTTGACTCTATTTTTCAATTGGTCACCTTGAAAAAAGATGATAAACACAGACTTGTGCACATAATCCCCCTAGAACAGAAGAAAGCGCGTTGTAATAGCTCAGCTATTTACAGAAATTAGCATTATAGCATATATCTACTATCTGTTCTATGTAATACAATAAATGGGAAAACCTGAGAAAATGCTAAGTCTCCAAAACAACAGAGATGCAACAAAACGTATATCATCACTTACTGCAGTCAGCTCATCTACATAATCAAGCAAAAAGCTAAAGAGCAAATGAAAATAAGATGAAGTGGAGTTTAACACTTTGATTCTCCAGGGAAGCCAATGGCACATTCTTTGTACAGCTGTTTTCATGCTGGTAGCTAGCTCCCCTTTCCTGCATTTGTTAACATGTTATTGTTCTACCTTACTTAGGAAACCTTAGCATAATGTTTCAAGAATAATTACATTAGGTGTAACCTCAATTTAAGGAAGTGTTGCACAATAAGAACAAAGTCTCTCCCTAGCAGACAGATAATTTAACAAATCAACTACCAGCAGTTGGTGGGACAAGAGAACAAGTCAGTCTTACACAAGAAACAAAGAAGGAGCTGTTGAATTTTTACGCTTCCATCTTTGTTCCACTGCAGCCTATTGGCCTTTCTTTTAATCCATTTATAGCCAGAGCAATAGTTCCCAAAGTGCAGGCACTGTCTGCTGATTTGAGGCAACAGTAAAGAGGAAACAATGTAAACCAGGCTCAATCACATTTACCATTTATATTAGTAATAAGGTCAAAAAAAAAAAATCTCATGTGGATGTTTAAATTAATGGTTAGTAAGTTAAGAAAAAGAAGAGGTCCAAGTTCAGAGCAAATGAGCTACAGATGTTACATACCACTAATATCCAAAAGAACCTGTCTTACAAGGATGTTTGCTACTTATTCAGAACTGCACACGGGAGTGGCACTTTATATTTGTGCCTGAGAAGCAACTATGTCATGCTGCAGTCCAAATTCAGAGTTGTTTAACCTTTTCAACAGCAGTCATCACCCCTCCAGCTATTTTTGTTTTAATAAAACTGGAAGCCATTTGTCATTAAAGCCTCAGATGCTGCAAATGTGTTTTGTGAAGAGTAATACAAACGTTTGCCTGAATGGAGCCACATTTGAGGGATAGAGGCTCAGACCTACAAGCAAAACCTTTTACTCAGATGAGACTTTTGCCTCTGTGAAGGAGAGTTCCTTTTACCGTTACAGGATCCTCCAGGGGGTTTTCAATTTCTGCTTGACGCAGGAATACGTTGCCTCGGCACACTCGCCACAGCATGCGCTCAAACATAGGGATTCGCTCACGGTTGACCCCCCCAGCCACAAACCTGTTAATTGATCAATATAAATGTAAGCTACGTGATGAAAAGCATACATAGCCGATTACCCAAAACTCTGATGCCTACTGGAGTTTAGCATCAGCCCGAAAGCTACAAAAATCTTGTTTTAAAATTACTTCTTTAAGCAAAACGGAAAGTCTTATAAATGGACAGAGACAAAAGCACATAAGAAACAACTGCATTACACCAAAAGCTATGTCTGTTTAACAGAATGAAACTGATTAACAACATACATACATATATAAATATATATATAAATCACTGATTAAAGGAGAAGTAAATGCATTTAGACATACAATTTCTATGCCTGCTACTGTTTATTACAACAAGTCCCTGGTAAGTTATGTGCCAAGGATTATAGCAGAGGAGGCTGCCATAGACAACCACGTTCTAGGCATGAGCTTCAAGAAGACCTCCTGTTTCAAATCCCTGTGTCCAGATAAGGAATTATAGACATACAAAGACAGTCTAGAAGTAGCTAATGAGGAGGATATAGAACTATACAGATTATTTCAGAGTATTATGTACTCAGAATAAAGCTGGTTTCAAATAAAGCTGTGAATTTTCAGATTGTCTGCTAAAGTACCAGGGAAGGTTTACAAGAAAAAGACTAGTATAGCACTGCACTTTTTGTGCAGAGAGAAATGTCTGAAGCACAAACAGGAACTGGAAACTTAATGTACATAGGCCAAGAATGGAGACCAACAGTCAGTGTTAGACCAGCACTCATCTGCTAGAAGTGCCAACCTGGGATGTTCCACAATAGTTGTGCTGCAAACAGCGCGGACTCCACAGGTTGAACATTAACCAGCAACCCAGACACATGCAAGACAGAAGTATAAATTGTCATTACCCAAGTCGTAGCGGGGCACCTCTTCCCATCTCGCTTGGTTCCAAGAGTGAAGAGGACTCCTCCAACAGGTCTGGATCCGCCATCTGCTGATGATGCAATTCAGCCTGAATTCACAAATCAATTAATATCTAATGAAACTAGTTAGTGGCATGCAGGGAACGAGGAACCAGGAGACAGTTGGGGAAACAAAAAAAAGAAAGCAAGAACACAGACTAGTAGAAGGAGAAATCAGATGACAGAACAGAGAGCAAGAATGACACAAGGAAGGAAAAAAACAAGAGGAAAAGTAGAATGGCTCAGCAAAGCTTCCACAAAAGAAAGATCTGATGACTGCTGCAACAGAACATGGGAGTGGTGGGATATATAAGTCTGAAGAAAGGCAGAATTCCAAAAAATTTATCAAATTTTAAATACAAGTCATGTTCCTAAGAACCATTTTTTAAATGATACAAAGCAGATTGACACACCTTACTCTCTTTAGTCCCTGGAGGGGAGGGAGAGGGAGGAAGGGGACATCTCTTCCACTATTTGTTCATTTTTCTGCACACTAGATGCAATAGGTGTTTCTAAGAGGTGCTTGGATATTATATTTGCATGTGAAATAGTTTGGTAATCTGTTCTACACAGACAGGAAGGATGCTGCTCAGATAAGTCTTCCATAGACTGTTTAGCTGACCTCACAGCAATATGCAGCTTCACAAGGTTGCAACTTTACAACCAGTTATGCAAGACCCGCATATCCTGTATATGTCAGCCTTCTGCCACACTTTGAAGCAAAGGCAATGCCTCATTCATTTAACAGGTGATGCTAGCTTGATTGATTCAACTTTGTATCTACACTGATGTGGCAAGTAGTTGGAGTCAATAACAAAACCTAAAAGTATTGGATGGTAATCGTCTCTCTTGGCTGTCAAAAGTTCTTCCTCTAGGGAAAACACACGATACTTGCACCTTAAGAACATTATTTCTGATTAAATTCATTCATTTTTCCAGATATTTAGTCATATTCACAATACATGTTATTGCCAGACACATATAAGATATATTGCTTAAGGCAATCTGGCTTTTTGGTTTTTTTTGACTAGCCAGGCATTAAAATAGGAAGTAGCTTATCTGTCATTCATTGCAACTAATTTACAGACTAAAATTCCTAAATTCTTGGGAACATAGCTTGCAAGTGTCAGCAATTGAAGCCAGGAAGGATGTTCACACCACATCCTCTTGTGTGCCATTCTCACACTCCATTCAGAAGCCTTTGTCACAGTTATTTCCACCTCTGCAGCTTATATAATGAAATGAGGAAAATTAAAGAGTTCCTTAGTGCAAACAGAGGACCAAATTCTACCCTCTGTCTCTACCCTACAGTGGTTTCAAGGGAACTTGCTATCATACACTTGAAGGTAGAGTTTGACTCCAGAACACATAAACTGTATGCAAATACGTATCACAGTCTTGCAAAAGTATATGGCAAGTTTAACAACTCAGCCATAGTTTCTCTATTCATACAATAATTGCCTAATAATTTTAGCGAAAAGGTCTCTAAAACATTTTACTTGCATGTCAAAGGGAAGTATTTACCATAGGCAAGGAGCGTTTTTGCAAGGCTGACATCGAACGCAGCTAAATTGCTTGTCCACACACAATTGATTTAGCTTACAGATGTTACAAAAGTAACGGACCCCTAATTTACTTCAGAAAGCCAACATGGAGAAGTTCTGATACTTTCAGTTTTTAGTCAACTTGTTACAACACCCAATAAACTGAATGAAGATTTTGTTTCATAAAGAACACAACCAAAATAAGCAAGTTTCATACCTTGAAACGAAACACACAGATCAAACACTCTAGTGATTATTGATATTAAGATTTCAGGACATTGAAAGACAATGAGAAAAAGCTACTGTTTTAAGAGGCTTGTATTGTATTTATCAGTAGCCAAGATACTCTCTGTGATAGTTTTTTGCAAGGTTTGCACTAGACTAGTCGAAGCTCACCTTGTTTTCACCAGATTTTAACATATAAACATAAAACCAAAAGGATGCCACATGTGAAAAGTTTTGCTCCTCCTCGCTTGAGGAAGCGATTCTTATGAATTTTTAGTATTATTCCTGACCCTTTGGGGGCTATGGGTCCTTTATTCAGGACACTGTACAAAACAAAGAAAAGTCCTGCAAGAGGGATTGGAATTACAAAATAAAACAACTTAAGAAAAGGATCAGACTAGTTTTTCGAAACAAGCACTTTCATATACAATAATTTATTCCCTAATAAGAAACTAAGTTCTTTAAGTTCATCGCTGAACTCCTTTGATTTGGTGACGGTGCGCTTTCTAGAAAGGGAACAGGATAGCAACAGCAGCTCTGGTTCTGGAAGGATCAGTTACATCAGGGTATGAGATTTACCAGAAAAACAATTGAGAGACTATGAGGAAATGACAGAGCTATCCAGCTGCAATGCAGGTAGACAAGAGTCTGCTCAGTCTAGAAATCTACTTTGAATAAAGAGTTTTCACCAGAGATGAGTGAAATACAAAAGTTATTGTGAAGATTTTTACCACATCAGGGTTGTTTGGGACTGGAAAAAAACCAAGCATTCACACAACACTAAACAGATTATTACATATTTTTAAATTGCTTATTGTTCATGCAGGTCAACACTTTTAATTTCAAGGCCCCAAAACATCTGTCATCTTCTCTACCCTTGCTTAGCCAGAAAACCAAATACTTAACAGCAGGAAGGCAGTAGTTCTGCTCTACAATGGCTCTGGATTGCTGCACACAGCGCATACAATTCAAGCCCCTTTCAGTCCACAGAAAGGAAACAAATTCCATTTTCACAAGAACTAAAAAGGATTTGCTTCACCATCTAATTTATTGATCCAGAGCCCAGAAGGAAATGACAGATGCAAAACAAACATAAAAAAGCAGATGGTGAGAAGAGTTAAGAGGAAAGAGAGAGAGGGGACTGCATGCCATTAACCATTACTTTTCCAGTCTTCTTTACGCTCACAGTCTAGGATGCTTATGGCAAAACTTTCAGAGAAATCTCTCCCGCTCATACTGCTCTTCATAAGCAAAGACAAGAAGACTGAGAAAAGGATCATAATCATCAACACGGTATGTTCAGACAAGAAATGGCTACTTTGATGAGAACGGTCATAAAAAGAACAAGTGAAAACATTTCATCGTTCCCCCTCCCCCACACCACAAACTCCTGTAAGCACAGCAAATGCCATGCATAAAGTACTTTGAGTAGTAAGCCATTTCTTGTGCAATTTATTACTATGAACAGCACAATCTTAATTATAGGTTACTAAAGTCTTCAAGCGTTGAAGGTACTGCACAAACGATAGCATGAAGAAATGAAGCATATAATACTTAGGGACAAGAGCTAGACTGCATAGGGCTCAGAAGTCCTGGACTAGTCAGGATCTCTTATGTAGAGCTGTTTACAGTGTGAAGTAAAGTAGTTTTACAATTTTAACAGTTATCTTCTGTTGAATTTCACATATCAAGAGTTCAGTTCAGTCAACACTTGAAGATAAGTCATTTGTAATGACAACAACCCCATTACCAATCATACTAGCAGTATCTATGCTAGCAGCAACTAAGACTTGTGTTGGCACGGGAACAACCTCAGTGCCTCAACAGGCAGCAGTACCTTGTGCCAAAAAAGGACTGTTAGATAAACGGTCTGAAGCTTGCAGGAGCCCTGCTCTACTTGATTAAAGCCTTTGGGAACACCAGAAGCCAAACCCTTTAAGAACTCTTTGATCAAATCCTTGGATTGGAGGGAATTGGTCATGTATTGGGCAAAAACATGTCCTTCCCCTTCTAAAAAACACGCAGTGAGCTTTCTCAAAGAGCTTCTAGAGTTTGAAATCCTTACGCTTTAAGCTGAAGGACTGAAGTTTATTCTCCCATCCAGGCCCTATGCCACTGTATCATGAATGACGTCAGAGAAGCTATTCTCAGGTTGAGAGAAACAATGCTCTTGCCAGTTACTGGTCTATTTGATATTGGATAAAACGTTGGGAGATTTTGAATGGCAAACTTGCTCCAGAACTTACCTCTGAGAACTTTAAGGTTTGAACAAAGGCTCAATAAAACCAAAGTAGTCCATTAACTTCAGTGGACTTTGTGTTATGACTATAATCACTAACCTCCACATAACAGCTCAGAGACTGAGGAGAAATTGTTTGATTGTCACGCCTGTGTGTGAGGTATGACTCTGTTCATGTGTATACATGCCAGAGAAACCCTTGTCCATTGAAGAAAGTGCCCACTGTAGCACCAAATTTTTGGTCTGTTGACATGCTTTAAGAACTACTAATGCCTTATCTATTTTGCACAGTTTTCAGACAAACCATTAATTGGGGAAAAAAAATCATAAGATGTAAATCATGGATAGCTATATGTACTGCATGAAAATGGAAAATAATTTGAGAATTTTTCTTAAATAAAGTACAAAAATGACCCTGCAATCCAAAATAGCAACTAAAGATACATTTGAGAATAAAAATGGCAATTTGAAGGAGAAGAACCGGCTGCCTAAGTGCTAATCCGCCCCCGGTATTCTGACCTCATCAAAGAATTGCTGAGTTTTGCGCAGTATAAATTTTAACTCTGTCAACTCCAAGAAGTTTCTCTTCAGAGCTTCCTGGTTTGTGTTGATTTCTTTAAGCTCATTTTCAATTTTCTCAAAGTTTGCCTGCAAGATGGGAAAAGGAGAAGGAAAAAAAAATAGATCAACTTAAAGAAATGTTGTAAAGGAGCGCTGTTAAATCTATTAGGACAATATCGTAGGCAAGATGCCTCATAATCACATGCAGTTTGCACACAATTATGGATGCTACCTTTAGTCTGCTATGGCATACACATCTCAATTTGTGTCATTATCTTCAGGTAACTTTAAATGTTCCACACTCAGCTAATCTTTCATAGACATTATTTCTATAGAGTGTTCTTCAAAATCATTGAAATCCTGAATAAACTTTAACATAGACCCATCATAAATCACGCAGATCCAGCAATTTGAGGGGCATTTCATCCATTTAAATGACTCAAAGTCCAGTCTTTCACTTCTAAATGTATTTGGATAAATGAGCAGGTAAAAATTAATGCTCGTGTATCAAAAGTCAAACTGATGTAAATTAGTGCAGCTAGTATTTCGAGTGACAGCTGGGGAATCTAGCTAATGCATCTTCACCACTAAATGCTACAAATATTTATTAATGGAGCTAACTTCCCCTGTTTTCATCTAGAATCAAATACTATTTGAGTTTTAACACATATAATTACCTCCAAGTCAATCATGTCACGGGGAAAAGGTACCTCTGGGTTTTCACCAGTGTCCATGATGGGAATATTTGCCTTTTTAATCTCCTTCTCCACAAACCCTGAAGAGATAACACTGTTATTCTTAATGCTAGCCAAAGATACTTCAACATCAAATTATCTCCATCTTAATCTCCATCTAGCCTGATCAGAAGCTGTGGAGTCTTTCACTCCCAATTCCAAGGCAGTCTTAGTGGGTTAAAATTATCTTTCAACAAGGAAATGAATCCTTGAAGGCAGTCTGACTGACACAAGGTAGAAAGGTAGTCTTCACTTCTCCAGCCAGCGCTTTGCTTTTTAACACTAGGTTACACTGGTAACACACAGGTTTAGCCTGCACTAATTTCTTCTGCAAAGGCTGCGGAGTTAGAAGCATATCAGAGAGCAACATACTTAGCTTTCGGTCCATTTCTTCACACCTCCTGACTTCATTAACAAATTTACGTTGGAACACGTTCACATCCGGGTTCAACTGCAAAGAAAAGCAAATCTCCTCAGTGATGTCCAAGCGCAGAGGGCTGCCAGGAGCTGCGCTAGCTCACCTGGAGGTGACCGCGCAGGCACCGCTGGCGCCCTTCAGCCTTTGGCCGACGGCCCAGCCGCGGTGATGCCGTGAATAACAGAGGCGGCAGCCACCGTTTGGGGGGGTTTGGGGCTTTTTTTACGGCGGGCGGTCTTTCCAGCGGGGGAG